GATATGCCAGATACTGATCTACTAGCCATTCGTCTGGTCAGAGGTGTCGTTTCATGTCATTGAATGCCAGCTGTGGTTCATTCACAGACTGCACAATTTTTAACAATTTTCGTTCCATCTGGTGTCTTTCGCAACTATTTATCCATTTGTGATATCAATATACTTATAAATGTGAGGGTACTTTTCGAAAATACCAGTGATGTTTTAAAATAAATATCACAGTTTCCAGGAATTAGGCAAGACCACTGCAATTTACCGCAAATTCTCAGTGGCCTTTAACACAAAACATGATTCTTCGTGGTGATGAATTAGTCAAAAAGGGGGTACAACTGACGCAATGGACTTAATTAAACACCTAACTTTCGCATTTCAGCATATTTAAGACACACCCGCGGAGTATCATTCGGTTAAAAGAAATACCTAGATTTTGTGAGGAAACAGATTTGCGGTTATTGTGTAATCTCAAATCCACATTTCTGTGCTACCACCTGCTACTTGAATTCGCGCGCATGAAAACGCCTCCGTTTAATGGCCCATCACTTACTTTAACGTCTTGCTCTGAAAGGTAAGCTGGTACGCTGGCAGACGGGGAGGTGGGAGAGGTTGGCTGGAGCGATACAGCGTGCTGTCGCCGCCTCCTCGACTCCAGACACAAGTCTGAATCATTACTGCCGCCGACGCTTCGGTCAGTGGTTTGTCGCGCGGACGAGACGCGACGAGCGAATAGCGGTGGGGTGATCGCCGACACACCGATCTGCCACGGAGGAGCGGTTTTGGTGTGCTCTGATTGGGTGGCCTCGGAGCTCTCGAGCGACGAGGTGTTGGATCGCGTGGCGTAGTTAAAATGCCGATGGCCAGGTCTAATGCCCGATGGATAGGGTCGGGAACCACTGACCGACCTCGGACGCAGTAGTTGCGAGCCACGTGGGGATGTGGGGAAACATGAGGTGGTCCGTACTGCTCGGCACGATCTTGGACCTGAAAGGTAACACCGTTTCGGTGTTGAGCTGAGTCACAATGGATTCATTCAACGCTGAATTATTTGTGGTGGCATTGTCAAAGCGTGTTTCTTATCTACAGTTTCCAATAAGGCTTGAGTCAATTTAGGTTATCGACTTCTTCTGAAACACCAAATTATTGTACTCAAAGAAAGTCTTTATGTACTGGTAGCAACGGCCTCTCAGATATTTAAAATCCTCCTACTTACATTGTTTTCACACCTAGAACTTATTTGTATGAACTGAAGTCCCTCAAAAATTGCATTTTGGCGTGATTGGAATAGGACAGCATCAATATGACGTCATGGGAACAAAGAAGTGGATGTGAACAGGAGCTTCAACAAGATTATACAGCCAATACTGTTAGATGTGCCGTTAAATCTGGATTACGGAACGCTTCGCTTAACACCAAGACGTTTCGGCGTCGGTTTCAAAACAATGCCGAAAACAGTGATCTCGATCGTTACAACGGATCAGGTGGAATGCGACCCACATAGGATGTACGGTGGCCCCAAGGATACGCTAGCATAGAATTTGGCCAAGAGCACAAAGTGGCCGATGGACACACTCCCTGGGGGACCTGCATCTAGTTAAATTGGGTCCCATTATGAGAATTGGATGTAATTTAGAAATCCTGGATTTACCGCTAATCAATCGCCCCTGAAGGACCATTTCTATCCCCTTTAAAGTTTGGTATTCATGACAAATATTGCCATTTTCCATGCGGTGGCATATCATGGAATCTATCCGCCTGTAGATTATAGATTATGGGCAAATATTTTCTCAATGCGAAACACGCCCAATTTCTTACTCGTCTTAATAACCGCCCCAGCTGGTCATCTGGACAGGGACACGTCAATAACTCAAAAAAATATGATCACTTATAGTAGGTATCAGTTCTCAAAAGGCATCTCTCAGACTAACGAAAACATTAATGCAAGTTATAGGTAGAGAAATGCTTTAATGTTTTATTCGTAAAAACCTTTTCAATGTCGTCTAGCGTTCGTGCTATCCTAATTTGGTAGCAATAGTACAAAATTTTCAATACAGCGTAGGATCAAAACAGAGAATTTGACGATGCTATGGACGGCCTTGCATGGATTAACACGCAGGCGAAAAATAAGAGACCTCATGTAGAAAATTCGACTGCATGATACATCAGATGAAACAGCACGGATTCACTCCAAATCTCGGTTTATGGGATGTGCACGTTTTGACAGAACGCACCAAACTGAATCCCACATTCTATGGCTATTTCTCTTCTCGCACATTGTTGGGGATCCACGATTCCCCAAGATTGCTCGTCGTTGTTTTCTGGCACCATTCACATTAATTCCCTGTTTTATTACACTTTTATCCGGTCAAGATTAACCTTGACTTGAATTGGTTTCACTTTTGACAAATAACTCCACACGTGGCTGACGTGGTTAAAGCTCTCTACACGAGCTCCGGTCTTGTTCTTGTAGTAGCGTGGAAAGGTCGGTGCTAGCGTCAACAAGAGATCTGGTACCGTTATTTGAATGGTTTTCTCTTTGCTACGAGCAAACGTAACACACATGAGCAAAGCGAATCTTTCATGGATCCAGTAAAAACTGAACATGAAGTTTGGGGATTACATGTAAGGGATTTTAGAATGATGGCAACAGAAGACCAGATTCGATAGCAGGATTGGGTTTCCCTAACCAATCACCGCCAAGTCACATGCCACTTAGCACACGTTAAAAGATTGAAGCGAATAAATTGGGAACTTTATTATATTCCTCTGTAAGTTTTCTCAAATTTTTACCAGTTTCGTTCTCTGCAAGATAGAGGATGCATTATTGTTTAGTAAATAACACAAATCATAAAAAAACCATTATATTAAATTTATTTTAGAATTTGACAAAAATTTTGCAGCCATCCAGTATTACTGACTATTCTTCCGAAATTCGTGACCCACATAAATGAAATCACACAGTTCAGTGGTGTTCCTGAAATATTTGCAGATGGTCTGAAATGGAATGGAATTGATTCCTTACGGTAGCACCATCGTCGTCATCGATTTCACACAAGCTCGAATTCAAGTATCAGGTGGTAGCACAGAAATGCGGATTTGGGATTACACAATAATCTTAAACCTATTTCCTCACAAACCAAGATATTTCTCTTAACCTGGTGATACTCCGCGGACGTTCCTTAAATATGCTGAAATGTGAGACTTAGGTGTCGAATTCAGTCAATTGCCTCAGTTATACCCCATTTTGACCAAGTTACCACCACTTTGATGTGCCCGTATTCTCACGAAGAATCAATTTTTGTGTTACTGGTCACAGGGAATGATGGGGTGGTCTGGCCTACTTCCTGGAACCCATGATAATTATTTTAAAATATCACTGGCATTTTTGAAAAGTACGCTCACACTAATAAGTACATTGACATCACAAAAGGATAAATAGATGCGAAAGACACCAGATGGAACGAAAATTGTTAAAAATTGTGCAGTCTGTGAGTGAACCACAGCTGGCATTCAATGACATGAAACGACACCTCTGACCAGACGAATGGCTAGTAGATCAGTATCTGGCATATCTGTGGATGGTTTCACATCTGGTTAACTGAATGATATATTAGTAGTGATGTCTAGGAGGTGATTGGTTGGAGGTCAGCGTTGACTGATTAGTCTTCAAACAGAATATTTGGCAGTGGTGAGAAAACTGCAGCCATGTTAGACAGGAAACACGTGAGAGTTGTGTGTGTCAGAGACGTGAATGGCCAATACATGTGAATAACTGGCATTTGATGTTAACTTGAATTGGCTGGTGGTGATGGTAGCACCAGCACCACCACTCACTTCAGAGCCAATGGCATTGTCGCATCCAACCAGGCTTAGATCTGCTCAGCCTACATTCCAGTCTGGCGAACAGTCTGCAAAGTCAACCGAGCGATGCCTCATACTGGCCGCATGTTGCGTAGCAAAGTGGAAATGCACTCAGCTCAAGTGTGGCACAGTTGTGTGTGTGCATGTGTGTGTGGTGTGTAAAACCAACTACTCGATGAGTGGCGTGTCTGTGGAACTGCGGACGATCGCGTAGGGTACTGGCCGACAGTCGAGGTTGCACATGCGTGACAGGTACTGGCAACGGGATATGAGTAGCAATCAATAGATGCAGTGCACGAGTTGCAGTGGTTGTGGGGATTGGAGTGGACAGTATTTGTGAATTGGTCATTAATGTGGGTGACAAATTGGGATATTGGCACTGAGGTAACTGGAGGATGTAGTCTAGGATACCAAGGAAGCCCACCAGATCACACTCAGGAAATCGAAAATCGACAGATGCAGTGACTCGCATGGAGGGGAAATTGTTGAAACATTGCTCCGTTTGGCAGTTTTGCCCAGCTATTAACTGTGGTGAGTCACGGTGTTGGCGCGAGCGTAATGGCAGCCTCGCGAGTGCAGATGATGTGCAGATTAAAATGTGCGTTTTTTCACACAGTCAACGACTAGCCTCCCAACGTCGCAGTGTCTGTGTACTTTAAGATAACACACGCAGTCGAGACGTGAACCGCATCGGGTACAAGTAATTGTCCTCTGTCTGCCAACACTCTATGAATTGCAGAAGTAATGACCATAACGGATCTTCAACGAACGTCACAGCATCCAGATGTAAATATGAAGAATAGATTTCTTTAAACTCTGAGGACTACTTGCCTGCTAAAGCGAGGTTCTAGTTAACTCTGAAACGGGCTCTGCTCTCCCTTCATCATTCTTCTCAATTTTTTATGTGTCTAATTCCTATTTGTAAATCTCGTGACGTGAAACAATTGCCATTTTTGTTATCTCGAAAAGACTACACTTCAACACAAGACTTAAATTGCCCTCATTGTGTAACCCTAGCGCTGATGCCTTGACGCGAACTTCTAGGGGATCGAAATGCGTTGGAAGTCTGTGCTCCTATGCTGCCTTGTTTTCTTAGATTTTCGTGGTCATTTGTTTTTTTTTGCTTGTTGCCTCAAGTGGAAACGCAAGAGTTTCAGACGTGCCAACGGCTACGATGCAGCTGACTTCATTGATCGACTTCCCTCGTCGATGCTTGACGACACTGAACACCTGCCACTTCGTCGCCAGACGTCTGTAGCTGGGACGCGACAAGCTGATGAGGTTTCTGTCACCACGCACACAGCTGAAGCCCCCAACGTCCGTGATGATCTGCGCGACCTTGAGGCCTGTGTGAAGAGGTCGGAGAAGGAGAGGGAGAGTGAGGAGGCGAAAGCGGATGATGACGAGGATATCGATCAAATTATCGCCTCTCTAACTTGTCCCAAACTCACCACCAGCAGCTCCAGCATCAACCCTTCGCGTTCCTCCTACCCACTGGGATCGTCGAGGCCAGGCGCAACCGCTGATACCTCTGTTGGCGAACTCGCGACCTTGGGATTCACCAATCGGAACGACTATTGGGAACACTCGGCTTTCGGACGGTCGCGGCTAACTGCGATTCTCCTCTCAGTGATTGCTACTGTCTGCCTCCTGTACAGCTTAGTTGCTACCACGTGGGTATACACCGGGCACCGTAAGTTCTTCCTGTATTTTTTTTTGGCCTTTACGGAACAGTTCAAAAAGCCAAGCAACTTTCCGGAATCCTATCCTTTGACTGGTCAACTTTAGCCTTTCTAAATGCAACACGACGTCACTTTTATGTGTTGTAGAAATCAATTTAGCAAGGTATCACTCCGCGGAACTAAATAGTCTGTTGAAATCAGACTAATCCCCACGTCGCACCTGGCAGCTGGCTTACTGTTTGATGTTTAAAAGCGCATGTGTTGAAAACTAATTACCCTCACATATTTTATACCTAAGCACCATATTTAACCGTCCCGGTCAATGTCAACACCAGTTAATTGAGTTAAATTTAGCGTCCACTTAAAATAGACAATGTATCCTGGTGCGGAATGCTGGTTGGAGCTAAAGGCAGTTGAGAGAGGCAGAGAGCGGGAGTCGTCATGTGCGTATTAGCCAATTAACATTCAAATCTGATTAGCACATGAACCAATCAGATAAAGGCCGTAGCCTGGACATTGACTGAAGCAGTCGCCTTTACGCACGGGGCTGACGTAATGGTTGAGCCGTGACCTTGACAAAATTGAGCTCTGATTGGTGCAGGGATTGACGACTGACTAGCCAAAGTTGTACCAATGTTTTAAGGGTGTTTCCTCATCGTATTTTGGATTGGAAATCTGTGGACAAACCAGACACAATTGAGGCTGAGTCTGCTTTATAGTTCCACTTCTGTATCGATTAAACGTGATGCACTTAAGTGTTGTCAATTGTTGTTACAAATTGCAGATAATCCGTGATTTAGCAGAATGTTGGAAAAAATTTCATAAGTCACCAGAAGCTACAAACAAATGCATTTTAGCGCGAAATGCTTTCGTCTCTTAATGTTTGTTCTAATACGAGAGCAACAGGTTAGTCATATTTAGGAAATAAATCGAGAAAAACAAGCGGACAACGCGATTGTGAGAAGTGTTCATTGATGAATGCGTCTGAAGCCGTCCAAGTTGGATAGGGTATTTAATGTACTACTGATATTCTAGAAGAATAGAAACGGGTGTGAGCAGATGCAATTATGAAAGGTGGTAATTTCTGTGGTCGAGATTTCCTGACTAAGCAATAGAGTGCCGTTTTGTGTGCAAAACTGTCAATGGATGGACTGTTAGAATGTTTTCACATCGACACTAAAGCGCGGTTTACACTAATCACATTCGACAGCTCGGCATTCCAATTTGATCACCATGGAGTTACGTAATTTCGATTGCTTACACGCTTGTCTCCACGTACACATTTGAAGCACATTCAGTTGGTACAGACAATTGTGGATGCTTGGGTGTCATGAAACAGCCAATCAGAATGCAGAATTGGGATTTGTGGTGAAACGGCAACGACAATGGTGTCTGCATTATTGGTTGCGTGTGTGAAGGTCAAGTGGCGTGTGATTTGCCTTTCAGCTGGAAACGTCACTCGCCGCGGATTATGGAGAAAATGCTCCATGGAAAACGGGAGTTGCGAAATCACTCTGCCGTTCTTGTCAGAGACAGATGGCAAGTTCATTGACCGCTCCTTCACAAATTTCATATTACTTATATGATAAAGTAGCCATTTTTGAGTGTTCGTATATTTTCAAGGTTGGCAGGGTGGTGCCACGTGCATCCTCGTTGTCGCCATTATGATAAGTTTTCTTGGTACCGGACTGGCGATTTTCGGACATTCGGGATCAGACCTCGTAAAGCGCCTCTACTACTTTCATTCCAGTGGCGAAATATTTTTTCTAGCAGGTGAGACCATCAATTCCATTTACGAACAAAATGTACTACTTATTCAGTTATGGGTAGGGATTTATGTCGTGTGCTTTGGCTTTAGAGTTGGACAGAACAATTTTAATGATTTTGGCGCCAATTTGTTTTTGTCCGTATCTAGGTTTTACTACATTTCTCAGCTTTGGCATCTACCGCAGCTACGCCAGCATGAACCTCTTAAACTTGCGCCAAACAAACCCACCTTCCGCTTTCACAACCACCTCCGACCAATCACCACTGGCGTCCTTGCCACAGCCAATCCGCTTCGGTGCCGCCGACTATACAGGCTGGACCGCGGGAGTTGTGTTCTTCGCTGCAGCCTTCGCTCTACTCATCGACGAGTTCATCCACGAGTTGGCTAAGCTGGGCCAGTCGCGGTGGCCGTGCCTAGCGCGATGCCTGCGTTGCTGTGCTATTCGTGTCACTACCTTCAACCGACGCCTCCGGACCGCCCAGCGAAGCCTCGCCGCCAGATGCTCCTCCAAGTCGTCTCGCCAACACCGGCAACAGCATCGTCAGAAGTCGACAAGCACCACGTCTAGCGTCACCGCCAGCGCCACCACCCGGGACCGCAGTGGACAAACCTCGGGTGTGGTCTTTTCCTACAAACCAACCACGGGCTCGAGCCTGGCTACGCAGAGGCGGCGCCGACGCTGGCGCCAGCGAAGGCAGTAACTCGTCCTCTATCCCATCATTCGTGAACTTAGGCACAGTTTGTTTGTTCCCTCATTGCCCTCTCCTCCCCCTCCCGATATTTTTCTAGCTTAACAACACACACACACAATTGTGTCCGAAACCACTAGGACCGGTTCTTCTACCCTAAATCCCTTTTTTCGAGCACAATCGATGTCCAAGTACCCCCCTCCCCCTATTCCTATCTCTTACCATGTCTTTGCAGTTTTAATTGTTCCGACCTCTTCTAATTCACAGTGGACCAAAAATACATTGAATTGAAGACTCTGACACTGATTAGTTTTGAGATCGCGCAAAAATCTGCCGTTCACGGCGGTTTTCCAAGAGGTGAACAATCACTAGTACTGGTTCCGTGAAAGTGCTTTTGAGTTTGCAACCACCAAGAATTGCTCGACGTCATCACACAGGTGAACACAAATCATCCCAAAATTCGGCAGTTCCTAATTCAAAAGAACACTGTCCATCATTTAACTGGTATCTACCTGATGAGTATTGGGGGACAATGTGTTAGCGTTCTCGAATCCTTTCATCGAATCAAAAATTGTTTGAACGGTTGCGGGGGTCCAGACATCGATCAGATAAGTGGGAAAGTTAAGAAGACAGTTCAGCTTATGTGCATATTCCGAGTCTCTGTGCTTACAAGGTGTTGAAGTCTAAGACGCACGCACGACGGACGTGATTGGTTAATATTGCTAGCCAATGGGTTTTGAGTGAACTGGTGGATGTTCAAGTACGTAAACGATGAAAGGCCTGTTCGAGGGTATGGAAGGGGTGTTGATGATGAGGGTGGGGGAAAGACATGTTTTACATGCGACAAGTGGGCTGTTTGTTTCACCAATTTGACCTGATGAAGGTCTCATGGGTTTTATTCACGTGAGAACATCCTCTAAACCATATCCAGAAGCTATAAAAGGGCACATTTTGGTGTTCAATACCTTAAACCAATCAATTTGTTGATATGATTGGTTTTAATGTAAAAATCGTGCTCTGGACAAACCTATTGGCGAAATATCATTCAGATTTTCACAGAAATACAGGTGCTACATTGATCTTGACTTGTGCGAAATGCGTTTTTCGATTCCCTTTTAAGCTGGGTACACCAAGAGTGGTCTATCGTTTACACGACCTTGTAATGGGCCCCAGTGCGGTTTTGGAGAACCACACTAGGGCCGACGATCTACGTTGAAGAGTGAAAAAGTGCAAGTGGTGCGCAGCTCAACTAATTTATTGATGCAGCAGTGTGTGTGTGTGTAGGATAACAAGTGGGTTTGATTAGCTTCGATAAGCATCGATCTCTGAACGCGCATTCACGAAAAATCGATTGAATTGTGTTCGCTCACGCTTGCACGACTGCTGCCTGTGTTCGCTTGCTGCTCGCCACAAACTGATGGAATGCAAAAGATGCGTTTATTCACCCAAAAAGCTTAGTTCCTTTACAGCACAACTAATAAGAGGAATATCGTGACGAAATGCACTATTTGTTCGCCAATTTTATGCTAGTAACGGTCGTCACGCAGTATGTACACCAGCTTCAGTCCCTTTGCCAACGTGAGCTGGTGTCTAGACGGCTTCGTACTGTCCTAAAACGGGTATACGCGCCCAAGAAGGAGTGCCTTGGGCTATATTGACAACAATCAAATCGATTAGCACATCCAAGAGGAGTGAGCCAATGGGAGGACGTGATAAATTAGTTTTCTGTGGAAAATCGAACAGACAAAGTATACAAAAAGTTTCGTGTGCAATTGGACGCTGAGAGCGAACAAAGTACAAACTTAATGCATAACTAACAGATTTTGTCTACTACAAGTGAAAATAGTCAATTTGCTATGACCCAAAAATGTGAGGAAGTACTGTTGTGAATCATGTGTATTCACACTCGCTAATCCGATCATTCCACCCTCCGACACAAGGTTACCCTTTTCGCAGCATATTGCCAGCCGCGCGGATCCTCAACTCCCCTCTCATTCACACGGATATTTATCTTGGATTATCCTCACACCTAGGTCTCGATGTTAGCGCATCAACGAGGTATAAATACACACGCACAAACGCCACCCACGTCACTAACGTGGTTGAGCCCTGAAGTAAACGGTTGTGTCCACGTCCTCTCCGGTCTTTTTCTTCATTGCATATATCTGGGAAGCGTAATCAGGCCAGAGTTAATGCAGTGGTTCATTTGGTTCCGAAAAGCTGTTATGGAATACTCTGTGACCACAGCTTCCACCACTTTAGAATCAGGCATTTATGGCACTCTTTAAACGGAAATCCCACCCTCATCGACTGCATCGTTGTCGTTAGCTTGCTAAAACAGATTTTGTAGCAATCCCGGTAAGTGTGGCTTTTCAAAACACATCTGGATGCATATACTACTGAATAGTACGAGCAAGAGGTAACTAAATCAGGGAAATTGGCTCAAACTAGCTACGGGGCCGCCGTACTATCTTAACCACACTTAACAAAGGCATGGCAAATTGCCGAACTTAATTAGGCCCTATTAACAAGGCAGTGTCTTTCTCAGGGTCGAAACAGCGAATAAACTACTTACAAAAGCATGCCAAAGTAGTATATAGATATTGGGCAAATTCAATGTACGTATTTTAGGATATATTATGCTAGAATGACTTGCGTCCTTTTGTAAAATCGTTTTTATCGCCATCGTCACTTTGCTACACCCTAGTTGACTTTAGCCAATTGAAGCCTACAGACACCGTTCTGGGTGTTTTAATGCACACAGTCTTTTCCCGGAATTTAAATTTGGCTAAAAATGAATTCATTGGTTGATATATTTGAAATTCCAAATTAACAGTGCAGAAAATGACAAATGAAGAGGTTAGTCTTGACAATACAGGGAAAAGTAATTTCTTGGTAAAAAAGTTCTGTAATTTCCAGTGGTGTTTTACTAAAAATGAAAACAAAACAGGATAAGAAGATACAGTTTTTGAACATGCAACTTGGAACACTGATTTCTCGTCTCGATTTAAAAAATAACCAATAAACTTGAAGTAAGGTGCCCCAATCAGGTTCGACCATGAAGGTCAAAGTTGTCGTGCAGGAACTCCCAAAATCGACTTGAAGTGAATTCAATACATGTTTTCGCTACGATTTAGGAAAAGGGAACACGCGTTTGCAAGAGCTTTTTCTTCTCTCGAAATTGTCGCTGCCAATGGGCTAACGAGTTCATCGCCGAGGTAATTGGTTAACTACTTTGGCGGAAGTTTAAATCGTTTAGTGGTACCAAATCGGAAGTTATCTTTAGGCTCGAGGCATCGTACTGAAAACACGAGCGTTGAAGGTTAAAACGACGAAGTATAGGGTTGTTTTAGCAATTGAGATTGTAGTCTAGCATTATTGTACTTTGCTGGTACAGCTCTCTGCGGAAATTCAGCGTCAGCTCTGAACAGTTAATTATTAACTTATTCTACGGATATTGGGGCAAAAGAACAAAGACACGGGGCAATTTCGGTAAGGTCGTCAACGCCATGCTGAAGTTGAATTTCAAATCGTTACTATCGATCGAGAAGGTGGACGTCATGTCGATTTACCGGGCTAAATGAGGGTGGCGATCAACTGACCTGATTAAATGACGATCTGTTGAATATCATGGCCTTGGCCATCCTGGATTCGGCTTCACGAGCCTTTTTCGAGTTTGCCGCAGTCCGTGGAATGATACAACTCAGCAGCCAGTTGATGAAAATGACGGATACCTGGAGATAGTAAGCAGTGTTTTCACTACAAGGCACCTACGACCTCAGGTGCGGGATATGAAGTCAAGGATTGCTGTGAAATATTCACTTCTTAATCTATTTAAACGGGGTTTGTGAGTCAGACAATGAACCAATCAGTGGCCGCCCTTGAGGTATGCGCTAATTGGATGATGACATGCCATTCGGCCTATATAGTTAAGGCGTCAAACCTCCGTTTGCCCTCACTCATTCACCACGAGTTAAAAACATTATTTAAGTTAATCGAACCCCACAAAAATGAATACACACAATGCAATTACCGCAAAAACGAAGATGAAGATAAATTTGGCCGCTAGAATGTGCCAGAACACCGATGTCAGATGGTAGGGTTTCTCACTGGTCGGTGGCTCTCGGTAGCCGAAATACCTAAACGGCCAATGAAAACAACAACCAAGCAACCAATGAGAAATTGACGACACGCTGATGAGCCACCGGTGGTTACGAAACACCAGTTTACATCTGTTAGGCCGATTTGATTCAAAAAAATCGCAGATGCCAGCCACGAATTTGCAACAGGAAGGCAGAAGAGCAAATTTTCTTTCAAATTACCAACCCACCTGCAGACCCTGGCGCCATTTAAAAGGCTTCTGTCCTCGTCGGCGATCTCGAAACTATCAATATCCATGTAGGAGAGGGTGAATTCGGTGTAGCCGCGAAGACTACCGTCCGGTGAGTAGTGAAACTGGTAGACAAGTTTGTTGACAAACTCACTCGAGAAGGCAATGAGGCAGGCCTAGCGAAGGCAATTTACGATGTGAGATGTGTTCGCAGTCTTTCCCCCAAACTCCAGAACTCCTTAGGTAATTAAATATTTACTTTCACACATTCCCACGGGACTACAGCAGGCCATGGCAACACGGCAGATCGGTGAATGTTTGATTTTAAGCTCACGTATTTGAGTTTATGTTAGGTTGACAAGTTAGGCGTTTGGATCGCTAACTTCGGACATGTTCAGAGAGTTAAACTTTTTTCAGGAATGGTAAACTCAATTATTGCGGTGACTCGAAGACCCGTGAAATTTCACAAGTACGCTGTGGGGACGGCGATTAAGTCTGGTTCAATTCCAACTATTCAAGTGATAGGCGCATGTTTCATTAAACTATGATGTTGTTTTGAAGATCCTTACTAGCATATGGCTGAGAATTGACCACACAACACAGTAGGCATCGAAAAACGAGAAGTTTATTTCACTTCTGAAGTGATGTACTTCATCAAGGAGACCACAGCATGCTCTTCGACACCTTCCAGCTGCTTCAATGGGACAGCAAAACAGACAGCGACAGACAATGAACTGTTTGCGCACCAGACCAATCCAAAAGAACTAACGATATCGATTTTCGCCGAGGTGATCAGCACATTTTGGTAAATTGACAATGGGAATACATTCCCTAACGTTTGTTGTCTGCGCGTGCCACTTTCATGTTTGTGCTGACTGCTGCCAATCTTATTGGCTCATAATTCCCGCCAAGGTTACTGTGTCCAATTAAAACAAGTGCTTACGTTGGTCAACAATGCAATGCGATCAATGGAATGCGAAACATGGCCGGTACCGTAGGAATACCGTGAAAATTCTCTGTTTTTTTTTCACACAAAACTTACGTTTGTGAGGATGGAAAACGCAGTAAGTCCTTTGAGAACTTGAGTCCAAATCCCTGAAAAAAGCCACAAATCTGGTAATGGTGAAGAGAAAGAATTGGCCATAACACAACACAACACCGAACTAATGCCGGTGTGGTCCGCGAAATAGACGATTTCAAACTCGCGCCGCTTCTATGGTTGTCGGTTAAAACAAGCAACTAACCAATGGAACGCGCCCTGTGCGCTACCAAGCGATGCATCGTGCGAGTGAGTTTCATCGCCAGCCCACGAACCGTCAGGGTGGCGAACAGGAGGAGACTGATGATCCAGGGAAAAGACGCGGGCAGAAACATCACCGCGAAACCGATGAACAGGCCTGGGCAGTGGAACATAGGGGTCATTCAAGAGAACTGATCCCTTCAGATACCACCCCTATGAACTCCTTCAGAGGTTCGACTTACACATGTAGAGGTACTGTTGAAAGAGGGGTCGGGCATCAGGACTGCAGAGAGCGAGATTGTCGAGGCAGTGTCGATAGGCAGGGCTTCCACTGTTCCCTGGGACAGGTACCTGGCCCGAAGGACCAATCTTCCTTCTCAGACGTGTCCACCAATCGCGTCTAGAATCAGAAAGATTACAACGCTAGTGTTAAAACACGGGTCAGCAGCTGACCAATAGACACGTGCAGCGGAAAACAAGCCGATCACTTGAACCAATGTCATTAGAGACTCTGTTTATGCTGTCAAACCAATCTAATTAAGGAGCGTAGAGAATGAACATTTAATCACGAACAGTCTCAACAACCAGAACATACACTAGCTTGTAATTACTTTGCAAAGGTCGATTTTGTAGTCATCATTTGACAACGAACATAACTATAGATTCTGTGTTAATTTACATAGAATTAAATCGAGAACACCAGCCACCCATCGCTATCCAATTATTCTCTTTCTACACCAACCAATCAGCTTAAAGGGTACTTTTAATACAGACAAGGTTAAACTTGGGACCTAGGCAGGAAGTGCTGATTTTGGGGTGAAAATAATCGAGCAAGGTCACAAAACAGATTTGTCACTAGTAGCCAAGCATTTGTAACACACTTTCGAGGCACTTTTTCACTAAAAAATGTAAATGCGAATTCTTTTAACCAATCAAGTTGCAGATCATTTTGAATTGCTGGCACCCAATGAAATCGCGTTAAGCAATCACTCAATGACGATTAAAATAAGGAGGCAAGGAGTGACAAAAATTAGGATAAAGTACTATGATGCAGTCCTTCATAAAAATTATTTCGTACAACAAATTTCGAAGTACAAAACATTGTGGTAAGCGGTTAAAATATGGGGAACACTTACGGGAGCCATTGCCTGATTCCTTTCACGACAACAATCACGGTACACTCAATGTAAACTTCGTAGAAAATGGCAAATAGACCCGTCCAAACTGGCCACTAAAGATACAGGGCAGTTTTCGAACTTTTCGTCAAATATGCTTGATATAATTACTGGTCAATTGTGCGTGTTTCGCGTTGATATAATATTAGGGTTCTTTGTTTTGTTACTTAATTTATTTCAGTAGCTCTATCATTGTAATTTGATAAGTAACGACAAGACACTTTTACGGAAGAAATTGGCTAGAAAACTTCGCCACCAGGGTGAAAAGCAACTTGTTGTAATGCGTGAGGGTGCCCCAGCTGACCTCAGGTGGTTCAAACATCGCGTGACTTTGGCCAGGAAATGAGACATTCACAGCGCGAATAACCACTGCCGACAGCAACGAGAGGTAGACATTGATGAATTCCAGGAAAAACAATTTCAGCATGAGGCTTCTGTCGTGTTGGGATTGCGTACGGTGACACTCGAAGCTGGTCGATTTTTCTGCCCAGGTCTTGTAAATCTACAGACAAAAAGGGCTGTGGTTTGGAGATCGTTTGAGCAGGGAGTTGAAACGTTGAAAAGGATGTAGATGACACGATTCTCTAGCGGAGCACAACAGCAAGTCAATACAGAACTTTGCACATACGTCACGTCAAATATTTGAATCGACCTCGATTTCTCATTGGCTTTCGCCCGCTGGTCGAAATTGAGGGAAATTAGCCCAGTTTTTTTCACAGATAGAATGAAGATTTCAACAGTTAAATACTGCATTTAGTATCATCGTCAAAACTGACATCACTGCACATTATTCACTTTAGCATTCGATGTAACTCCTGTTGGTTAATCACGAGCCGACACCATGAACGCATTTGATTGGTCACAAAATAGACAACCAGTTTCTCATGTCAGGTACAAGTTCTAAGCGTTTGAGATACAAATCGCAAAGATTTAAAATCTTGGGGAACCCAAACATTAATGATTTTTTGAGTGACCTTGGGCTTCGTTTGATAGGTGCTCTGCAATCAGATGATCGAATCACTAACCACAAATTACCGTAAGTTAATTTAGTCAAGATATCATCACACCTCACTAACCTTTAAACTGCCCTGCATAACAAAACACTACCATTAAATGATCTAGCCAATGACGTTTAAATTGCAAATTTGATGCTTGCTGCTCATTGGCTATTGTGAGCACGTCATCATTGCACATAACCAATCAGGAAGAAGTGCACTAGAGGCACCAAGTACCGAACTCACCCAGCTCAGCGCGCAAATGCCCACTGCATTGAGAGTGTGGTCAACAGCGAAGGCCAAATAAGTAGCATGTTTGTTGCAAAACTCGTTGGCACATTGCAAAAAGTAGATTTCGAGGCGATAACCCACGTACATTGTGGTGAAGGTCAGTGCAACCGTTAGTCCAATCTGCACGTGGAAAAAAAACAAGCAAAAACCATCTTAGCCGTCTAGAGATCCTTCGATTTGTTTCGTTTTCCGTGAACGTCGGTAGAAACTCGGGGAAAATTCGGGCCAATTAACAATTACCTCAAATACTTTCTTTCACGTTAGCGAAACCTTTGCATTTTGGGCATTCCATTTCTCCCACATCTGGAGGTCGAAGACTAGGGTTTGGATACTTTGTGGAATGTCTACTGGCTAATCAATTTTCGACACGATTAAATAACAAAACTCACTAGCAGACAAGTAATGAGGTAGGTAACAGCGTGCACAGGAGCTGTGAATCGCCAATACGAGCGATGTATCTGTTGAGGCAAAGAGAAAACGCATGACGTTTCTAACAAGACGATTGCACCAATTCGTAAGGTTGTAGGGAAGATGAGGTGTTTTTGGGTAACGGTTATTCACATTAGAAATGAGATAATTATCGTCTGTGAGGAATCCGCCTCGCGCTAAGCCTATCAGCTACCGTGACCTCGAAAAATCGATAAATTAGACATCGAGGATTCAAGAAAGAAAACACAAATTAACTCGGAACGACACCCAAGTTTTCCGAATTATTGATAAATTTAAAGAAATGCTTCCTGCGCGTCAGAGAGACGAGCCCGAACGTTTTGTTTAAATCGACTGGAGACGCAGCTGGTAATGGGTTATCGCGAAGCAAGCTCACCGTGGAAGAGCTGGGTTTACCATGGAGACGCGCCAAAAACTCCTGTCGTGGTGGTTCGTCGGTTATTCGGTAATCCTGCACGTGCCACCGGTGTTGCAGTTTGCTCTGTTCGTAGATCCACAGATTCAAACACAGTGTGCCTAGAAACGGTGACCTTCAATTACTGACTACTGATTGGACAAATTTGGAACGGCGGATTCTAGTTAAGCAAGACCTCGTAAGCCGTTTTAAACCAGTATTTATACGTTTCACATGAGTAGGCAGTTAAATTGCAATTTCCTCAAATCTGATTGGAGGGTCCGAAATTAGTTTTTTACAATTACATGATGTTATAGAGAATTTCAGTGACATCTGACTAGTGTTAATTTTAGCGTATGCTGAGCCAAAAAATAGACAAATTGTGGTGTGTTTAGGATTGTTTCCAAGAAAACCAACGACCAATAACAGATGAAAGCGGATCAGAAATCCGAGCAAAAAGGCCAAACTAGATAATTTGGTAAATCATGTTAGATTATTGGAAATTGGTTAGGAAGTAATATTGCGTATCCCTCGTATCGATTTAATTGACATTGAGTTACCAAAGTGCCACTTACTTCACAATTCGTGCACCTCTTTGACAGGTGAGGTTTCCCCTACTAGCGTTCGGGATCTGACAATAAGCTTGTGGGACAAGGATCAATCCCCCGGGTTTCGATCATCGCGTGTACCCCTTCCACACCAATTAACGTCGATGTGAAAATTGGCTTATCCCACGGTTCACTAGTCCGTTTGAACTCTAGCGGTCAGTTTAATTAAAATCCAACAAAAATGGTTTATTAAGGCACACCAGTTCTCAAACGACCACGAACAGTATCAGTTGAATTGCAGACAGTTAAGTCAAAGTGTAATTTTAGCAGTCTGTTACAATTAGACGAGTTGAAGTTGATAGGATGGATTAGCACGGCAAATTCCACCGACCCGTCAAGTGAGAAACAAGGTCGTAGACAAGAAAACTCACCCAGGATTGGCGCAATGAATGCCAGAAAAGTTGAGATTGGATTGTCGAAGAAGTAAATCAACGACAAGTCCCCACAGGCATCGCTCAGCTTCCGAAATCGGCAGCCCTTGACACTGCATGAAGGACACATGATGTAGGTGGTGGCGTTCGGGGCACAGATCTCGGATCTGAAAGAGAGAAAGGCAGTTTAAGTGGGTGTGTGATCTCGCGCACACATCAGATCCTCAAATACCCACCGATGTGGCGTCTTGGATCCTAAGGAGTGATTCCACTGGCACCTCTGACGGAGTCAGCTTCAAATCGATTTTTTTTTGGAAAAGAATTATTTCAACTAAATGCAGCTTTTTTTAAATATTGATTCACTTTAACTTTCGTCAACACGACATGGCGTCTGACGGTCTTAGTTCACCAACAAATTACACTCCGAAAGATTATGCCAATACGCCGTAAACGGTGCAATCACATCTAGAATCAATCTCAGCTGTTCACTTCCAGTGATTTGATTGGCTTGTGAGTTGACAAATAGCAAAATAAGAAGGAATTACATTATAGAGTGAGGGGAATTTGGCAGGATTGAGGGAATTATCGCCACGCCAAAGGACACGAGGAATATGCCCAAGAAGCACCACATGTAGAATTGGGTCCAAGCAAAGCAAAACGCCACTCTTTCTCCGAAGTAGGCCCTAGAAATTAAAGAAAAAAGCGATCGCGCCTGAGTGGACCATGATGACAATGACTCATCGCCTTTTCATTGATTACTGTTATCAGACGCCTGTCATCCGCTCACTCATCCACATGTAGAATGCCCGAGCCCTAGTATGAAGAAGACTGGTACAACAGAACAGGCTTTATAGACCAATCACAAGCCAGAACCACATGCCAAGCGCCGTCCATCCGAGTCCATCACGCTGGCTACGCCGTTCATTATACACTGCTCCTCCTTCGTGTCTTTCTCTGGTTGGTTGCATATTGTCCTCGCATGCCACTGGATCGCAGAGAGAGGATTGACTGACGCCAGTGTTGTCCAATATGTCTGCGCCCTTATACGTCGCCACACACACACACACTTGGCCGGCGAGCTGTTACGGGCCGTTAACTAGAGGGTTGTAAGGTAATGCCAAAACTCAAGCCACAACAAAAAGCCCCTGAATCGGAACTCGTAAAAGGAGGCTTCTTTCCAGCTCTGAAGCCATCCACTAAGAACATCCGCTTCGGTACAATTTAAACGTTCAATGTTAACTCTAACGAAAACGCTAAATTGTGCGTGGGGAAATGAAGTCAGCACTGATACGTGGTTTTGGAAATCAACTTTCACGATATCTGCGAAAGGCATTTAAACATCGTTAAAATAGAAATGAAATACAACCACACGAGAAGTCAGCATTCTTCACAATTCCACAACAATTTGCACTTTACAACTAGCGTATATGCCACACACACACACAAACACACACACGCACAAACACACACACACACACACCAATCTGTGCTCATCAAATTGACCGCGGGCTATTCTCATTGGCTCCCTCTAACTTTAAGTGTGCAGACTATTCTGTCAAGGCCGCTTGTTTGACGAAATCTTCGTGTTCTAGCAAGGTCAGACAAGGATTGACCTTGGTAAAAACGCACATAAAAATAAACAGAAGAGGAGTGGATGAGGGTTAATTGTTGCACACAAATTCATTCGACACTCACCTGATGTCGTCCAGTGGCTGTTTGTTTAACAAACTTGAGCAGGATGCCCAATTAGCGATCAGCCTTGAACGCAGTCCGCCAGGTATTTCCGGCTAAAAAAGAGGATAATCGTGATTTCTACAGATTGTAAATATTTTTAACGCTAAAATTGTAACACGAATCACATCACATTTCGTGCCTTTAGCCGGCATTTTTTGGGCGCACCGGCAAATTCTATTTGCAGTCTCAACACACCCTGGCGCCACATTCAAACCGTGACCAATCACGTGTGAGGATAAGTTCTTCGCAAATTGACTTTAAACTAACTGTCCTTTTCAGCCCACGAGATAGTGATGGAAAATCTTACCTCGTGAAGCGGAAATGCAGCCAAGAAGACCGTGTTTCTCAGGTGCTCGTAAACACCAGCGGAGGGCAGCAAGGTGTTGTGGTCGGAGTCAGAAGTGGCGTGTGGTTGGACGGTGACGCGCCTCAGGATGTACTCAATTGCCTCCGTCCGTTCAAGCGGAGAGAAGAAATCTTCCTCGTTTGAAATACTCTTGAATCTTGATTCAAAAACTATGGCATCAGACAATGACCCTTCAACGGTTACACATACACCCACAGACATCGTATAAATAATCGATAATCACCAGTGCATGGACTACAATTAACCACGAGGCGAGTTTCTGGTCAGAAATCTTCACAAAATTTGTCTTGACTCAATTTAGACACCAAGGAGGTGTGACAGCAATCAAGTGTGCCAAATAAGCGAAAGTTGACTATCATTACCTCTAACAGATAAGTCTAATTAAATTACAATGGTTTAAAAATACAATAATTTTTAAATGCCAAGGGAGAATGAAAGTAGTTTCAACATTTTTGAAATTGCCGCATGCAACTCTCCTAAACTCTTCACAAATTTCAGTCGTCTTGAGCACTGCAGTTATTGGTAGTCAGTTTTTCTTAATTAGTTCCTGGATGGTTATCATGGAATGCCAAACAATTTCGATGAATGTCAAAATTTTGATCCATTGTAATAGTTGAGATCATCGGTGTAACCAGTTTAGACCAATGCTTCGAGTTCAAAATTAATCGCATGTTTGAGTTTTAACAGGGCGAGTCTCAATAATTCATAATTTTCGTTTCGTAAATGAATCAAACTTACGTTTTTATTCGATCGACGCCGAATGAAATGAAGAAGTATTCGTCAAATACCTGAAAAAATTGCCAAACCGTCGTTTGGACTCATAAATCACACATTCCACGACGATTACGACAACGAGTGATCAAAACACCTACACATTTAATGTCATTGAGGATAAATAGGCGAGAACAGAGGAAAAGGTGCAGTGTGGAGACTCGAACCACGGACCAACCGTGAACTCGGCTGGTTCGCTTTCCACGTCGGCATATTTACTGGTGCATAAATTATCGATTACCTCAGACACTAACTTGAGAAATCCAGACAGCTAGCTAGGTACCTAGATCGAATCCCTCTTTAAAATGACCGTCAGTAAAGTCCAGGTGACTGCAACATTATAGTCGTTGAACCATTTTTCAACTGGAAAAATGACAATGCTTGAACATATTTAAAAATCGCTGAAGTCTGCAGTAAACTTCAAGCAGGGAGAACAGTAAATAACCCCCTTGAGCAAAAAAAATCGATATTGTAGGGTGATAGACAGACGTAGTGGCAAAACCACACTTTTTCGGAGTCTCGACCACATGATGCCCGAAACAACGGAAATTAACACACCCAGCTCGGAAAAAAACCGTTTTGGATTGACAAACCATGAGGCCTGTCTACCGAGTCTGATCCAATGATTCAGCAATAACCAATTTGTCTATCACCACTCGTGTTAATGCACACCATTTTTGTATTCATATCGGGCGGCCGCTTCCTATTGGCTCATTCATCCTTGAGTGTACGTTTAGCCTGACTAGCACTCAAGGTGGCGTGACTGGGCATCGGCCTTTGGATAAGACTGTGGCAGCTGTCTACACGGATTTTGCATCTGTGGACAGACAAAAAACGTAACATACGCGATTTCTAATGGGCACAATCGGAGAAAATTTGAGGAAAAAAAACAACACGACAACATAACAAACATCCTTACGACGGGCTTCTGGAAGCGCAGAACTTCCGCAACCCTTAGCAACTGGGTCCACGTGATGTGCAGCCTCGCAATTCCAACGCCTTTTTCGCCCAACACGCCAACGGACGCGGCGTCCTTGAAGTCGAAAATCTGCCCGTCACAGTTCTCCATCTAAAAATTCACAAACATTCGTAGGGATGGATGTGTACAGCTTTACGGGAGATGATCTAGGGACGAGTGATTTCGTCGTGCTTTCCCTCAGCTGATTGGACGGCTCGATTCCGACTCGAAATCACCCACTCACAGCTCAAGTTTACTAACCCGCAAGTCCACACTTGGCTAAGGTTGTAACGTGTACAGAAACAATGCATGTGATCAATACAATTATAGACAGCCTTTCTTGATCAACTTGTAGGACTTTTTTACGAAACCGTCGATGTCAACACAGATCGAACGAAAAAATATTTCAATGAGCTAGAAATGGTCCGTCGTGTGTGTTCGCTTACCTCGATTTCAATTCCATAATCCAGGAGACTGGAAAAGAAGTCATCCTGCAATTTGAGGCACTTCGGTGGTAAGGTGAAGGCAATCACGTAGTCAGTCCGCCGAACGCCGTCGGCAAAGAACATGCGGCATTCCTAGAGTCATATTCAAAAATGAAATGGACAAGGACCTCAGTTAACGCAACTCCAAAAGCGGCACGCGAATAACTCTTGACAACAATTGCGCAAGTAAGGAGAGAGTAAGTCAGACATAAGGCTGGAAGAAACCCAGCGAAAGAAAATCTTGTTTAAATAGACATGATGAATAATAAGCGGTTATTTGAACACCTAAGCACAGCCTGGAGTTACTCATTTGCTCTACGTATGAAACACGCGTAGAGAGCTCACCTTATCGCCTGCCATTGCCTCCTGGCTACTTTTAACTACCCGCGACACTGGTAGAGTGCTCTAAGAGTAGGCGCGTCGACCACTGTGATTGGCCAGACTGAGACCAAATGTGAGCTGAAGCAGCCAATCAGAGATGGGAATTGGGTCGACGAGCAAGTCCGCGCGTGCATCGTGTGTGAGTGTACACTTAGGCAAGTGCGCGTGAGGACGCGTCGGTGATTGCGCATTCTTGACGGGAACTGTGGGTGTCCAGTGTTTCCAAATGGCGCAGTGATTGGTTGAAGGCACTGATTCGCAGTTGGTAAAAGCTCTTCGGATTTCGACCGACTTTCAATCGACGAAATCACGTAATTTTTCGACGTTCAAGCAAAACACTTTCTATGCGTTGACATCTTTCAGTAGTTGGGTAGATATTGTTGAAGGAGGTCTTTCACAGAGGAGTTCAACCAACTACCCAGTTCTAACCGCTAGTAAAAGTGCTCGAAATGCAGGTGGAAGGGTTAAGCAATTGATGCTGTCAAAGTCAGGTCATGTTTTGTTCTACTAATTTGCAGAAATAAACTCCATTTTGTCCATTTCCTGTACCTGATATTATCAATATCGCATCAGCCAATCAGATTGCTCGAATTGAAGGAGACTCATTTTTGTAAACTGACATATGCGTAATAATCAGAGTTAATGCTGGACCTAAATACAACGTACTGGCCCATTTTTTGCAGGGTTTGAAATGGCCGACTTAATCCATACCGCATAAATTTGCCCTCCGATCCACACGAAGAAAACCCCTAGAAAATCAATAATTCAACATGCGACTCAAGCTCGGCTGACTCGTTTAAACAACAACTGGCGACATCATCAAGGCCACCTGGCGTTTCACGTACTTGACATTTCTACCAGGCTCAGGCACTCAGTAACCCGCTCACGATCGATTTTTCATTATCTCACGAACTTTAAGTCGCTAACATTTGTTTCGTCGATACTGAAAGTCTGCACTAGTTAGAAGTTCCAATTTAGTGCTCACACAGTTACAGCTCTCATCATTGTAGGCCAGGATTTCAACTCACGAAGCCTCTCTTTCCATCCCAAACTCTTGCAAACCGAATAAGTTCTCTGCTTCCTTTGATCCGCGTCAAGTATCATTAGACAGCGACGCGGTTTGCGAAGTCGCTCTCATTGCTTTCCAGAACTGACTCAGTAATCGATAGTGCCGATCGTAGCTCTACCCGATTTCCTATTGGCCAATGTTATAGCACCAATCGCAGCCCTACCTGATTTCCTATTGGCTAAAGCGGTGGAACCAATCACATCCCAGCTCCAATAATAGATTTTATCCATTAATCCAGTAAAGGTGCTTGAAACAACACAGGTTTTTTCTCAAAAGGCATCACCCAAAAATTACAAATAGCAGGGAATACGTGGAAGGCAAAGTGGGTATACATAACAGGCACAACAAACAGCCATGAAGGGGACGCGGGAGCACTACTAGCCCGACGTTCATCTTCCTTCTTCTTTCTTTCCACCTCCTCCAATCCAATCACTGCCAGGCTTTTGAGAGTTCGCGGCGAGCAGCCAATCGGTAGGCCACCACCGAACCAACCGACATGCCGACGACGATCATCGCGATGAACCAGTGGTCGAAGTCGTCTCGCAGCAGGTCGTACGTCTTCGAAGGAGCGATCCGAGTGAAGAACAGATCTACACAGGAGAAAGTCCAGATGAACGAACTCAGAAAATAAACGCTACTTGTGGGAAATAGGTAGCGATAACGCACCAAGTCCATGAGCAAAAACCAGACTAGTAGACTCGAGACCCGAGGTAGAGGTGTGAATGCGGCGAATTCGCTCGAGGGTCTTGTTGTAGGAGATCACAGCGAAAGTGCTCAAAGGCAACTCCGGGGAATACGGCTCCAGGCCCTCTTCTTGAAGTTCCGGTGTCACCTCCAGAGTTCTTCGTGGGTCCAAGAGAGATTTTGGCAATTCCAACAAATTCCCAGTTTCAAGGCCAACTAAGGAGGATGTGATTGCATTACGTAGTTATGAGATGAATACTTACATATCTACTTATAGATATTAAGTAGCTAGAAAATTACACAGTAGACTCTTGGCGGTGATTCCACGCTCCGTAAGCGAAACAGACACCGCCCCGGAACGGACCGGACTCGCAAGAATGTACGCCCGCTGGAGGATGTCAGGAATGAGAGCGCCGGAAATCGATCCGTCACCGAAGGCGGAGTGGGTGGCCCTTTCCTGGGACGAGAACTGGGCCTTTGTGCGCGACAAGTGACCGCTGCGCGAAGGCATCAGACTCTGGATGAATATCTGCCACGGACTCGGCACCAACGCCCCGGTGGTCTGACGCGGTTCAAACAGCTCCAGAATTGTGAATTCGGAGCGCAGGGATCGTTGGTTGTACACCGAGTACTTCAATATATAATTCCGAAGGTAGTCAAGCAAAGTTTGCCTATACTACTTATACTACAATAGTACCATCGATTTTATAACTCACCAGGACCCAATTCTCGGAGACTACCAGACTAGCGGGCTCAGAGGCACGTCGGTGAACAATCGAGTGGATGACCTGTCCGACAACCACGTCGACGAGGTAGAGCGAGACAACCTGGATCTTCTCCAGCTGACTCACACCTGAAGTCATCACGGCCAGGAGGTTGGGATTGACGTACTTGTAGAGGACGTTTCGGTCGCCCAAAACGCGACCAATGGAGTAAACATGCTCTAAAATTATCAGAGAAGGCCGACGACGATGTCAGACGTGGAAAAGCCACCATACCGACTTTTGGAAGCGTAAAATAAAAGCTACTGATAACAGTTAAGTATGCATTTCGGCAAGAGTACTAAAATGATTAAATACTAGAAATTTGTTGATCACAACACCAAGCTAACCATTGGAGGGATGCGAGGCGGAGAAGATTATGCGCTGGGGAGTGTCCTCAGAGGAGAGGTGCATGTGCCAAGCGAGTTGAGCGGTGTAAGTGGACGGCGCTGTTGACACCACACGGTAGCCAGTCAGCGATGCTGGTTCTGCCTGCACTGCGTAGACAAACAACCCCGAGGCGTCAGGTAAAAGGTCCTTTTCAGTCGATATCGCCTCAGGCAGCATTCGAACCTACAAGGTGCCAGATTTTTTATCGTAGGCTTAAAATATCATAGTGCTAGTAGGCTACGATATTGCAGACTTAAATCGGTTCACTGATTAATATGCGTCATGAGGTCAGGTACAATCGGACGGATGCGTGTGTTGAAAAAAAGTACTACTGATTTTTAATCAGTAGGATGGCTTGGATAAACAAAATTTTCTATTTTCATGTACTGAAGATTCGACATGCGAAAAAGGACACAAAACTAACAACTACGCAGAATAATAAAAGCAAAGCTAGTTATTTCGTTCGAGCCTACATACTAGACAAAATTACAAGACGCCTTACACTGAGGTCATCCATAATGACGCAAAGAGGTCGAATGTGGCTGGTTTTTTCGGAGATTGAGCCAGGCACGAGTACGATCTGGGTGATGGGCCTGTCGAGGCGAACGAGGATCTCACCAGAAATTTCTTGTTTCGAGGTGACAGGTTTCAAAGTGTGCGGGTTCAAGGTCACGCCACTTATCGGGTCGAAGTAAATCAATATCGGCAGGCCAGTTTCCTAGTTAGAAAAAAGGTTAACTGGCATGGAAGGAAGTGATTGGTTGATTTGGCGACGAGTCATTGGTCACAATTTGTACTATAACGATTGGTTGACTTGGCGCAAACTGATTGGTAGTTTTCTATGTAGAGTTCAAAGATGCATTAGCTCCACTCCTGTCTCAAGGACAAGTAGGGCATTGATTTTTTTTTCGAAAACACGACAATTACCTCCGACTTGAGCAAGACACAGGCGATTGGCAACAGAGGAAAGTAGCCAGTGGTTCTCTGTAGGAAGAAATGGGTTACTGAAGGGTCGAAGAGGGTAGTGCCGGGGACAAAGTACTCCCAGACGATGTGGCCACGAGAACTCTCAATACCGAAAATCTGCAAAAGACGAACAGGATCGGGCGTTACTTCTACTTACACCACTTCAGTAGTTAGTCGTGTTTGACGACAGAAACCAACCTTGCCAACCGAGGAAACAACAACGATCATTTTGTGAAGGTTGTAAGAATCCCGAGTGAGAGGTCGGTAGTCACCGAAATGTCCGAGATCATCGACGTCCTCCTTTGGAGCCACCTCTGCACTCCACCAGGAGTTAAAAGCCACCTTCAAAGGGAAGGTTATTGTGTAATTGTAACTGCACAGGATGGCCATCGGATAGTCTACTTAAATTCCGCATAAGTAGCTAGCAGCGCGAGTAAAATGCGACGCCACTGTTGTCAACTTGCGTGGCTACGCGCTGACGTAAGCACATTAGATTATGGAAAGTGCGATAACATACCGATAATTGAGTGATTTGCGAGCGAAGCCGATTCACAAAAAGCTCAAGGATGCCAGCTACAAGCAGAAAAGGTAAACAGCTCTCAAGAAACCACACGATAATAATGCACCACGTTCGGTTGTGTGCATACGAATAGTGGTAGCAGATTCCTCCATGTTCACAAAATCCTGATAGCCAATCCCGTGCATTACCATGGCATCTGTTCTCCATTACACGAGACAGCAATGCATTTAGTGTTTGCACACACACACACAGGAGCACATCAATGAGAGCATCCACGAGGCGTCAGAATTGACCAAGGTGTTAAGTTTCTCCTGTGAGATGTGCGTGGTGTTTAGAGAGAGCACAACTACTCAAATTGATTTCAGTAGCTGACGACAAAACAGGCCTATACTGTTCGACCCTCAGATGCAGAAATGCCATCCGATTCACCGCTTGGTAAAGACGACAGCGAAGAATATGCCACGCTCAGTCAAATGCGCGTGGTTTATAGATTAAGTGTCATTTATTGTTTATGCAGATTGCTCTTTTGAATAGGAACAGTGTATAGAGAGATCAATCACTTCCTGATTAAAAATCACTTTTTATAACATGTACAAATCCAGCGCTGTCGAGGCAGTCATTGCATAATCTACAAACTGATGATCCAACACACTTAATAGCCATCGAAACCATGCAACTCCGTGGGTGCTTGCACGTGTTTACCGAATTAGAAACACCTCGTCTGCGCGGTGAATACCTCTGCTATGAGATTTTCGAGCGTGTGAGGAAATGTCATTCTTCTGCAGTTTTCTTCTCTGGGTAAAACCACCTATCAAGGGCCGACCCCTGACTAGATCTCATCGATTTCCTGCGTCACATTATATGAGCTGGGGTTATTTCCTCTGATTGGATGGCTACCATGGGCTAAATTTGATATTTTTCCCTTGAGCATTTCCTGCAGAGAGCATGGAAAATTGTGGCAGGAGTTTAGTCGCTCTTGTGAGATGTGCGTGGTGTTTAGACAGAGCACAACTACTCTAATTGATTTCAGTAGCAGACGACAAACATGCCTACACTGGTTGACCCTCAGCTGCAAAAAAATGCCATCCGATCTGCGCGCTTGGTAAAGACGACAGTCAAGACTTGAGGAACGTACCGTCAATTTGACCGAATTCCTCCTGCATGGTGGCCTGCTGCGCGGAAACAGGAAGGTCAACAAACTCGACGGCGGTGATGTGCGCCAGGGCCTCTTCCCGCAACCACACCTGAGTGCCTGTCGGCGAAAAAAGAAAGAGGAAACATGGTCATTTGTGGCCAATGCTCGTGGGGTTTACTGTGTTATACAAGGTCGATTGGATGCAAGACTGAGATCGCATTTTGATTGGTTAAGACGGTGTGGATGTGCCCAATAGCCAAGTCCATGACATCACCTACCATCTTTCCCAATCAACTGCACGGCGTGATCCTCAGTGAATACCAAAAGCCCACCTTCTCCAGGCAGCATGGCAATCTTTTGGATAAAAAAACAACAGTAAATTAATGCATTTTCAAACAAATATTTAAAAAAAGTGATGAGCGTACCTCTTTTATCTCACCATGATGCCTATTAATAGTCAGGTATTCTGGAAAATTGCATAGCGCCGCCAGCCCTGATTGTAATTCAAGAGAGGTCAGGTGAATGTTCTTCAAGTACTAAAACCGAAAAAGATGGTAAGGTGGTCTGCTTTGAAAGGTGTTGCATGAAAACGCCTTGGTGAAGTACCTTTGATGGATCCTGGTTCAGAACTAACACCTGATTTTTATGAACTACAAGCTCTGTAACCTGAAACGACGAAAAAGAAGGCATTTTTAGAGGACAAATCAAAAGAAACCACAAGTCGAGTAAACACACGATTACATTTCCGATGTTGTACATGAGGCGCAGGCCATCACTGCCTTTTTCCATTGCAAAGACAGCACCGAAGCCATTCGAAAATTTGACAAATATTTGACCTTCAGTAAGTTCGGTTAAATGCTCGGGTTCCTAAAACAGTACGATGGTTTAATAGACTGCAAATAGGCAGGAATGAACCGCATGTCAAAATCCACATACGGAGGAAAGCTCAACGGTGTTCCAGGCTGGAGAATTCACGAGCCTTGTCGATAGAAGTACTGGCGTTTTAGATCTCTCACCAGTGCAGATTAAGACGGAGTACGAAAAAATGCATCTAGTTGTGAAAAAACAATGGTAAGTTGATCGTTCATTGAAACACAGGTTAGAAAGTGGACGGTACTTAGTAACACGGACGTCGGCTGGAACTGCCGCAGTCGAAATTTTTAATTCCGTTTCAGATTCCTCTAAAGACCCAGGGGACACGTTTATCCAACCAAGAGAAGACTTCGAATCGGTACCAGATAGGACAACAGATAGCAGACCATTGTGTTCTGACGATGCGACTAACTGTGAATAACTCCGCGACCCACTGGAAATGCAAAAAAATAACATTTAATTTATGTTTCAAAACAATTGAACGCATTACGAGACACCTACGTTAGAAATGGTTTTTCCATTGAAAAGGCAAAGGAATCCGCTTTGACAGCCATCACCTTGTCAGTTAAAACGACAAACAGATTGCCCTGTTCAGCGTCGCAAATTAAGTTGCTGCAGAGAAGTGTAAACCAAAGACGAAAACATGACTACCCATGTCTGGAGTTACTCCTAATTGGCAATTCAGCCAAAATATGGCCTGTCAAAGGGTCCCAAATTCGTAGAAGTAAAATGTTTCTTGCAGAAAGAGTATAAAGGCCTAAAAAGATATTAAAAGCAAACTATAGATACTTTTTCCACAAAGACGGAGGGCAAGGAAATGACCATTTTCCTCCAATGGTTGGCGCCAAGCTAAAAAAAATAGATACGCAAAAAATACAAACCAAGGGAACCGTTGTTTTGGTCCACCGCCCCTAACACATGAGAATCCGATGCCAGAAACAACAGTCGGCCAGATGATCCTGGATAATTGATTTCATAATATTTCGTATTGCCCACATAACTCTGCTGCCTGCGAGGAGGTTAATGTGTCTTTCTTTTTATTAAAATATACCAGTCAAATTTTCCAATTTGATCCTCGTAAAGACCTAACGCGCCATAAAGAAAGATAAGAAATATGACGACCCGATTGAACATGACTAACAATTGTGGCAACGTTATGCACAGCCGCACTGCACCCACTGTATATCCAATCACCGCTTGTCAATATATGTCTATTTAAACATTATTAAAAAGTTGGTGAGGTTTTTTGCATCTCGATAACAAAATCAATAAGTAAACTTACATATGTTATGAAAAAATGCATTAAAAACAATTTTAATGTCAATGCATGCATGATTAACCAAGAAATCTTGGAATTGTTGTTTGTTTGAACAAAAAAATATAAATCACTTCATCAGCAATTTCTCTCCATGCCTAAATCGTAAAGTAAATATTAATAATTAAGCTAATCAATTCTTTTGTGCACTTTGACACTGTGTGATAATGAAGCTGGAATCATTGAAGCAGATATAAGAATGAATGGCAGATTCCTAACACCGGAGCATTTAACGAAACTGTTGTCACGTGTCTTTCGGGCGACTAAACAATAACCGTGCGGATGTAGTATGACCAACGCATGCAAATTAATGTATGAAACAAGCACAAACAGCCAATTTATTAATTCGAAAAGCAACCCATTTCAAAATGGCAACCCCAAAACACATCCCACAAATCAGACACTGGAAAAGCGGAAGGCCAAATGCCGAAAATCCTTAACCACCACTCTTTACATTTGATTAAATTTGTACTCTGCAAAATTATTTAATTTGCAAAAAATCTTATTGCTTAGAAGACAAAGTTAATTTGAAACATTTTAGGAAATCAACATGAAGGTTTTTTTTCAATAAACGTGTTTAAAACAATTGTAAATCCACGGAACAGGATTACTGGAATTTTTCGAGAGACTAAAACTGATAATAAATATTTTTTCAATGAAAATGCAATGTTACTAATTTGGATTTAAATTAGACGTGTGCTTTAAACATACTAAATATGTATGCTGGGTCATTGACTTTGCTTTCATTGATCACCTCGATTCTTGCAAACTTCTTCTACCTTAGGTAATTTTATTTATTATCACTTAATCATTACAGTCATTCCTTTTGCACTGATGTCGACGATTAATTGGCACGTTATCCTATCGCACCTAGTTGGTTGAAACCCGTTGTCGGTGAATGTAAAATGCAAGTAGCAAAATCAACGAACACTGGCTCTGAATTAAGCACTGCTGCTGACCCAGAAAGCTTTGTTCAAATTTCCCTTATGTGCCATATCTTGGCATTAATTCTTATTAAATAAATAAAATTTTCTTTGGTGCAATTTCATTTGAAGAGCATTTAAAGGGTGGACTAGCAGATCGGATTAGATGTAGCCTAGGCGGCATAACTATCACCTTGGTGAATTTATGTTAGACAGCAAGGTCACGTTGTAGGTGAAACAGAATGATACGTCGTGGTGATCGCAAAATACGTAAAACGGAGTCTAAACATCACGGCTAGATAAATTATTCACATAACTGTTGCTCATGAGAAAACTAGTCGTCAGTAAACTATGTCTGAGAGCACTAGCTTTTACAGAAATGGTGTTCCGTGGATTCTGGTAGTTTCATTGACCCTTCAGATGGAGAGCATATACATAGAGGAAACGTGAACGGCACGATCTAATGAGCATAGCACAACTGCTTTTATGCAGAGTACACGACTAGCGTGACTATTCAAGTATAATCTGGCTCAATGTGGAGGTGTGATTCGATACCCACAATGGAGCGAATTTAACTGCAGTTCTCGACGTGATTATCATTTTTAATCGACTTACCATGAGTTCGGCATAGTTTTCCTAGTTCTGATTGGATTAAATTCACTATGGTTATGACAGTTTACAACACTTCACTGCACAAATTCACCATTTAGACCAACCTATTAATGTAAACTCAGCGGTAGGTGATTTAAAACATTTGTGTTCGATTGCAATGGATGTCAAACATGAATGCAGACATTTCTATCAAAGTCATGTTTTATACAGATTTATGTTCCTACTTTTATGACCCGCCCAAGCGGTTACGTCGATTTCAGGTGGTGGGCTACCTTCCAGCATTGCTAACGACTTTATCTGTGGGCGAGTGAACATCAATTTGTCGTGGGCGATTGCTAAGAGATCACATGTTAACATTTCGATTGCATTTTACCATTTGAATAGCCTTGGACATACTACCAAGCTCGACGTGTGGGCTATCCACGTTTCAACAGAATGCAATTAACCTAATCTGTGTTTCCACAATCGTAGATAAAATGAACCTTTCATGAAATGGTAAAGAAAGACTTGGGAAAATGGAGGTGAAAGGACAGACTCTATGGCAGTGGCTGAATTGTCGCGTCCAGTAAAAGTGGTATTACGTGTCTATGAAGGCGATTGCTGTGGAGCTACTTTCCCCAGCTTATTCCAAGTGGTCTACAGGAACTGAGGCGAAGCACTGTGAGCACCTTGCCCACGTCAATCTTGAAATTCAACCTAGAGGTTTAAATGTGGCCAATCGCAAAGGCAGCATCGTCTACCATGACGACGCCAGACAACACGTTAGCCAACAGACGCTGAAAAATTCTGCGACCCATTACCGCATTCCTCCGACCTTGTTTCTTCGGGTTTTAATCTGTATGAAATAATGCGAATGCCAAATATTTTAGTACATGGAAGTATTCAAGGGTATTCATGGTATTTCGACGCCAATGACGGTGCGAACAGTATAATTTCTGCCTTAGTTGACATGAAATTATCAAATAGGCTGCCAGCAAACACATGAGGGGGTATGAAACACGACTCCAAGGCACGAAGACAATGCCCAGGTTCTCAATTACACTCGCCGCCCGAGATTTCTTCGTTGAGTAAGCATGGACGACTGGTCTGCGACTTGGAAAACGAGGAAGTGACAATCACAAGAGTGCAGGCTGCAGAAGCGGTTAGTGCAACGCCAGTCTATTGTGCCCCGCGCTGGAGGTAAACACTTGGTGCAGCTTATGCGAACGCACACCGCACGACAATAACAACCCGTAGCAAATGCATGCTGCCGCATATGTAACCACTACGGCAGTGCACCGCTAGCTGCCTTTGTCCACTAAACAGCACTTACCAAACCCCACGCGGACCTGTGGAAACTACGCCTGTCAGACAATAAATAAGCAGATCGGGTTGGGGCGTTGAGACAGTTGTGCACACACACACACTGACTGAATTCATGGAATTTACTTAGATTCAAGGCAGCAGTAATTAAAGATTGTCTAAGGCAGAGCTACACGATAACATTGAGGAGGGTCTCAAGGAAACCGAAAATGAAGGGTCTCAGTGGGTGCTCTGGTGCGCTTTCCTCGTGTTCCTCTTCCACCACGTGAGCGGGTTTTCTGGGAGGTGGCGGTGTCTTCAAGGCGCGGACCCTGCCTTGGCTGGGTGCCATCGACTGCTCCTCGTGGATTGTGGAGAAGATGTCTGCTAGGTTCTGGTAGGACAGCGTGCCCTGCTCGGCTGCAGCGCGAACTGATTCGTACGTGGAGTAGTGACCGTCTTCCTCTACTACCTAGGCCACAGAAAGACGCTAATTTGACACGGGGTTGAGTCTAGCGTTGATGGATTAGGTGCATGATCTCATTTGTAAGCATTTTTTAGGAAGATTTTTAAACATACAAATGTAGACCACGATCAAATTATTGTCTTCCATGACCCTCCTACATCGCTCAGGCAACGTACGAATGCCGTCGAGGCAATAGAGTCATCGTCGACGACAACTTTTCACACGCCGTCCAGTGTTTTCAACTGCTTGTCCACTAAAGCTTGTTGCTGCACTGACCGCGACAAGTGGTAGTCAGATGGGGCCAAGTCTGGTGAACATGCCCATCCCAACATGAGGTGGTCGAGTGTTGTCATGCAGCGGCAGCAGCAGCAGTATGACTCGCCTGCTTCCTTGCCAAGTAAATGGCCTTTTCTTAGCAAGTTCTTCGCTCAGTTTGTTTAATTTTCAGCTGTCGTGTTCCGCAGTCACCGTCTGACGACCGGTTTCCAGGAGTTCGTAATGAAGTACACCCCTCATGTCCCACAAGACACACACAGGGGAACACCACCTTCAAGTGCATGCCCTGTTCCCGCGTCGATGTACTGGGTTGTCCAGGATCTACATGCGACTTTTAACGTTTGAGTTTCTCGTAAATTACATGCCT